TTTTCTTCGAAATATGGGAGGTGTCAGAGTGTCTTCTGGAACCGTTCTGAACTCCTCCCCCCCAAATTTTTAAAAATGAGTGTTCAGGTCACATATTTTATGAAGGGGTTGGGGAACCTGAAAATATTTTGGTTTGGGACACAACTTCCAACTTTTGTGGTTCGCTTATTCAAAGTCCCGGGTTTTATTTGGGGGCAATAATTTTCTTAAATTTGTTAGGATCCAAGGAAATTTTTCGATCCGAAAGAATTGATTAAGGAATTCAATGAACTTCTTGTTTAAAAAATAAAATTTGGCCTTTTCAACCTTTTTTTATCTAGATCCGTCATTTTGAGCCTGAACTGATTTGCAAGCAGCATTCCAGATATAGGGGTCCAGGAGCCGCCCCTTTTCTGTAAAAACCAGTCATCATTTTATAAAATATATACAAAATTTTTTTATTAAGGAATATACAAGGGTAATTTCTTTTTTTTTGGAAAATTCTATTGCTTCCTATGCAATTTTTACAAGTAATCTATAAGAATGCTATTTTAATATTTTTTATTATATCTGGTTCTTTAGGGCACTTTTTTCACCGTAAGCTCTTAATATGTGACCGAAATTTTTCTCATGATCTTTTTTTTTATATTTACCTTCAGAGTGCTTCATCTCTTGTTTCATAAACTTCATTATTCTTTCTATTGCTATACTGCTTGGTTCAAGCTTTTCTTCAATATCTGTCAGAATGTCATCCTTACAAGCTTCATCAATCATATTCAATTTTTCTTCTGCAAGCTTCTTATATAGCAATTTCAAATTATTTTTATTCTTTATTGGTTGCATATCAACATTTACTGTCCATTTTAAAACATCCAATGGATCAATGAAATTTGGATGGCTCCATTTACTACTATCCTTATAATAGTCTATCTTTAGTTGCTCTTGCCAAAAATTCATTATTTCAGCACTCAACTGTGGTTGTTCATCAAGTTCAGGAAATTTCAATGGTGCTATTGTTCTTTTATGACCTTTCATTAAGTTGGACACTTTTACTTCAAATCCTAAAATGTCACTAGAATTATCATTCAAAATATCATCATTAAATTTACGTACTTCTTTAACTCTTTCTAGAACTTGATCTGTTGTGGCACAATCGTTGAATGACAGCGATTCGGTTTTATCGTTTGCCCCAACATCAATTGGAAGTGCTACAATTTTCAGAATTGATCCATCACTTGTTGGGTAAGTTTTCATTAATATTTTCAATTTTTCCCAATCTACTCCTTTGATTTTAAATTGGTTTTCAATTTCTTTTAATATTTGTTTCAGAATTAACACTGACAGCTTAAATTCATGGTCAGCAACCAATGATGCAATCTTGCGTTCTTCATATTCATGGTTTAAAATATAGTTTTTATCACCATATATTCCACAATATGTACGCTCTTTTTTCCTTAGAATTCTTTTAAATGTGGAATCAGAATCAGAATGCAGGATATAATCCATTTCATCTAAGGGTATATATTGGAATCCAAATATTTTTCTTATATTATGATATGCTACAAATATTCCATCCATATTACCAATTCTTGCTTGTAAGGAATATTTTAGCAGGGCACTTCTGATTAAATCAAAGAATTCACGTTCCATTGATTCATAGGGGCCGTGCAACTTATTGATCTCATATCCTGTATAGTTGCTTTGCTTTTCAATATATGAAAGATCATATCGAATAGCACTTACTGCTCTTGTTTTTAAGTCAAATACTCCAGTTCCAGGTAATTTTGGATCATAGCAATCCAACTGAGATCTTAAAATGAAGTCATCTATTTTTGAATAGTGATATACTCTGTCATATAGAGAATGATGTTGGGTACCTCTTGTTAAAAACTCTTCAAGGGTGTGGCCTAATGCAGATAATATCATTTCTTTATCCAATGAGGGATCTGAATCAATCGAGCAAATGCTGTCTCCATCATGGTTATCAGTTACTTTATTCAGTTTCCTTAGTATTACAGAAGCAGGCAAATGAGCTGACGTAGTGGGAGAGCAAGATTTTTGAGGAAAGTTCTTAGTTATACTTGAATTTTGTATATTTAACTTCCTATGATTTGAAATTAAGAAATGTAAGTGTGATAAAATTGATGTCATAGAACTTGTAGACGATACATAACGTCGATTATATTTAGCAGCAACGTCTAATAATACTGAATCTCTATGAGGCGGCGTAAAAGAGTGGGATGATGGTACTGGTGGGGACGGTGACGTTATAACTTCTAAGGATTCCTCATAATTATAAACTCCTGACCTTGCATCTTTCAACTTGTGTAAATTAATCGGTTGATAAAGAACCCGTTCCAATCCACCTCGTAGTCTTGGTAAACTCTTTGTATCAACAGATTCATTAGATCCAGGTGAATCAGGCCTCACAGATGTCATTTCGACCTCTTTTGGAGACAACCTGAAACTCACCTTCTTTATATGTCTTTCTAGTTCACGAAATCGAATTTTTGGCATTTCAGTAACCTTGATCCCCCCAGAAAGAGATGCTATTTGGTTCATATTTCATGTAGATTAAGTATTGTCTCCAATTGGTATTGGATAATCCTTATAAACTATCTATGACACTCTTAAAACCATAAACCTTCCTGTCGATTGAAAGCTCATCTCTGTTTTATATTCACTTTTTTCACTTTTACTATCTGCTAGCGAAGCCCCATAGTAAAGTTGATCTTGATGTAATTAGTTACATCAAGATCAATAGACTGTCTATAACAACAATGATCCCTTTGTAAAAGAAGATTCATTATCAAATACAATACAAAAAATGGTAATGATTATAATAGACATATAATGCTGACTTTTAGCAGTGTTTCTTAAACTTTCGAACTCTTTTTCAGTGAGTCTAGTGCAATAAAATTGTAATTCTTAGTGACATTAATTTATTTGGATGGTAAACTTGATACTTGATACTTCTTCAATATAGCACAAACCACAGGGTTGAACTTTGATCCACACGAGATATTGGATGGTAACTGGATTTTACTAGTAACGCATTGTTGGATTTAGAGACAACTTTTGTTTTTATTAAGAGTATCTTTTAACATTTAGGGTTGGAAACCAAGATTATAAAAACAAAACTTAAACTTTTAAATAAATAATAAAATATAAATCATGTTTACCGCTGAACGAAATTGAAATACAAAGAATACAAAAAGCTTCTAAGCAACAATGGTATCAACATTGGCACAATTAATGCAGAATGCAGAATCCAAGGAAGAACTGATTACGAAGTTAGAACCACAATTAAGAATTGTCCATATGTCAAAAGATGCTGATAATGACATTAAAAGTCATGTTAAATCAATGCTGGGCTTAATGACCAATTGTGTAGAGCAACATCACCAAGGTATTGAAGTTGTATGCAAAAACCCTAAAGGAACTTCGACAAAGGTTAAATTTCCATATGAGAGCATGAAAGGTGATCAACAAATAACCAAAATATCTATTCTATTGACATTATTGAAGACCGTTCATAACAAGTTGTGTTCAAGAGAGGTGAGCACCATTAGAGACGTATACTATGGGAACACCGAATTATTCAAGAGTCAATCAAAAGTCGTCCAGTGGTTTGGAGTTCTTCAGCATTCCATGGGACTAAAATCCAGAGATGTGTTTAACGTGGTGCCTGCCCAAAAGGGATTATGTTTCTCGCCAGTAAACTTATACTTTACAAGAGCCACTGCAGATAATGATGTTGTGGCCAACAAAGCAGGACTGATTCCCTACATATCCCAAGATTCACGTTTATTTTGGAAAGAAGACATCTCTCAAATTCGTAAAATAATCGTCATTGAGAAAGAAGCAGTATTCAACAAGCTCACTATCAATCCCAACGATATCCAACATTGTATATTGGTTACAGGAAAGGGATATCCAGATTTTCTGACAAGACTATTTCTAAACAAACTACAGAAGCTGACACATAGTTCTGACATAGATTGGGAGGTATACACAGATGCCGACCCACATGGAGTACATATATCGTTGAAATACCTCAATAATGAAGAAGAACAGTACAATTGTCAAAAACTTGCCTTCAAAGGTGCATTCATATCACGATTGGTCAACCAAACTCTGGATGACACTAACAAGTTAGGCCAAATCCTAGATCTCAAGCCAAGAGATATCTCTTTGGCCACTAAACTGATACAACAGCTCTCAACAGAAACAGAAACAGAACCAACAAACCAAACAAGAAACAAGACGTTCAAAACTGAATTACAAAGACAATTGTTCTATTTCAAAAAGGCAGAAATGAACTCTTTATCAATTGATTTTTACATCAATTCCTAACCAGCGATCACCGTTCAAAATTTAAATCAACAAGATCAAGTGAGAATAAAACATACCATTACCATCATGATTCCTCACACTCCACTAGATCAACCCTTTAACTAGCAATTGCATCAATCAATCACCTCTGATCTGACGTTTGCTTCAAGAAAAGAGTCTTTGGCTTTCTCATTTGGCGTTGCTTCCTTTATATATCAAGAAATTTACGTGTAAAGAAAAAAAAAATATGGGAATATAAAACAAGAAGTATGATAAAGTTGATTTAAAGATTTATAAAAGCTACTTATTATCTTTGATGTTAGGGGGATTAAGATAAGGAAAGAGATCTTATTATCTGCTAGAAGTGGGATTCTAAGTTTTTCAGTTTTGTCTGGTTTTGGTTTGTGGATCTAGAAGATGCTGAGTTCAATTTTTTTCACTTTTTTCTTATTTGTTTGCCATGTTTTAGCAGGTACTAATCATGTACCAATTGTTATTTCATTACCAGCTCATGGTAGTGAATGTTTATATCAAGATTTGAGTAATCCAGATGATACTATAAATGTGAGTTATCAAGTTTTGACTGGTGGTAATTTTGAAATCGATTTTAAGATTACTGCTCCTGATCAATCTATTCTGGTAAGTGAGCAACAGAAGAAATATTCTGATTTTGCATTGAAATCTTTTGGGTTGGGCCAATACACTTTTTGCTTCCACAACAATTACGGTTCTGATTTGAAGAAAGTTGAAATCACTTTGGAATTGGACAAAGAAATTATTACTACTGATGATGATGATGACACCAAGGATGCTGTTGCTAATAACGCTATTGAAGAAATCGATAGAAGTTTAAATAAAATGACTAAAGCACTAAACTACTTAAGGGCTAGAGAGTGGAGAAACATGTCCACTGTCGAATCTACTGAATTTAGATTGACTTGGTTATCTCTATTAGTTATGGCTGTTATGATTGGTATCAGTGTTGGTCAAGCTTTTATCATTCAATTCTTCTTCAAGAGTAATAGAAAGAATTATGTTTAGTTTGAATATCAAAATATGTGTGATATTTGAATTGATGTATATTGCATTTTTTTTCCCTTACATTCCAACAGTATATAAGTAATTATATCAGTATATATATATATTTACGCACTTCGGTATTAAATATTGTCTAAACTTAATATGTACCATCTAATCAACTGGATCGTATAATCACAAATTATATGATGCTCAAAATCTGGCTGTGTTTAAATATCTTTTAAGGAATTGTTACCATCTAAATCATCTACATGTACATACACAAATATGTATATATAGTTATATATATTTAATCAATTGACAGTTGCCATACAAACTATATAATAAATTAACGGTTGGATAGTTTTTTAACAAACACTTAAAGATTTATATTCTTTAAGAATAATTTAAATGGGTTGTTATATCAATAACAAATAATTGAATTTTTATAATTTCGATTAGACTGAAAACATAAATCGAATCAAAATTTCTATAATTGAAAACCTGTTATCTTCAAAAAAAGGTATAAATAGAATTTTCGAACCCATTTCTACTCCTGGTAAATGGGTATTAAATTTAAATGCACAAAAATATTAATTCTTTTTATCATTACTTAAATTCATTCTTCAGTATGATCATTAACTTGGGTTTTGGAATTTTCTTTCTTTTCACCATTAGCTCGATTATTTGCTTCTGATATTTTTAAATTTTCTACATACTCTTCTAACTTGCCCCAATTTTCTTCACGTTCAATCTTTCTTTGTTGAGTTTCCTTGAGACTAGAAAGGTATAATGTGTTACAATTTTCATACAGTACTGGGTTTGTTTCTAAAAAGATCTTTAATGCCTTGAAAGCCATAGCATGAATTGCCTTATTCCATGAACCCGAATTGATGGCTTGCTCTACTAACATGTATGGATCTGATACTATACCGTCCTCTCCATTGATATTATCCAACTCTAGTTGCGACGTCAGTTCGTAAAGTGGTGGGAATACAATTGGAAGAATGACTTCTGCATTTTCGATACAAAGATTTAAGAAATATTCATTATTCCAATAACTTAAAACCTTTTCTGCTACTTGGAAATGAGGGGAAGAAATACATTTTGCTAATTGTACAAATAATGGAACTTCAACCTTGATAAATTCTAATGGTTCAATAACTTCAAATATATCTTCGATTTCATTCAACAACATAATTTCTTTAGTTGAATTAATCTTTGGCCAATATCTAAGTAAACCCATAACGACTTCTTCTGTTAGTAATGGTTCTTTTTCTAAAAATTGAACAATACAATAAGCCAATTGGGGATGGTATAATGAAAGACAAGGAACTTTATGCAACGGTAGTAAAACTCTTAGTAGGAAAACCTTGTGCTCTTCTTTTAGGGGTAATGCAAAACCATTAATAATGGAACCTAATATTTCTAATAATTCTGCGATACCATTGAACTTTTCTGTTTCGTAAATGAATTGCAAAAAGATATAATTAATTGAACGACGGATGAAACTTCTTAAACTTAAAAATTTACCATAAATTCTGTGTAGCGTTGTCTTTAAACAGTCACGTTCTCTAATATCTTCACTATCAAATAATTCCAATAATTTCAGAATGAATTCCTGATCTATATATTGTTTTGCAATTTGATGGTTAAAATCTGGACTCTCTACGAATCGTAAAAAGAATTCATAAACCAATTGCATATGTGGCCAAGCTAGTTCATTAACAGGTTCATCTTCATCAGGGTCATAAATATCACCAACAGGGTTCACAGGAGGTGGGATAGGTCTAAATAAGTTGACTTTAAACATGGTAATCACATGTGCATACATTTCATTAGTATAAGTAAATCTATTAGTGACGATGAATTCGATTAATTCTTGTAAAGTAATACGTTTAATTTCCTTACCTTGGATATCAAAACTTGGATCATTAAAATCGAACATAACATAGCATTGGTCAACTTTTGCCAAGAACAATGCTAGTCTTTCTTCTGGTGAAACATCTTCAAAATTTGGCAATTTTGTTATCTGGGTATATCTTGAAGCCTCAAATCTCGAGGAGGAATGACGTTGAGGAGTCTTTATCAAATCTAATTCTGCATCAGCGGCCAATTTTGTTGGCGTTGGCAATCTTTCAAAAGAATGAGATGCTCTTGGAATATCGATGCCAGGAGACGAAGTTAAATTAGTTGCCATATCCTTTGACAAGTGATTTTGTGCATGAATTGATTGAGGGGATTGTGCAGCAATATTAACTGAATGTTCTAACCTATTGATATCATGACTGGTTGCCATACTAGTTTTTGAGCCACCATTATTATAGTTATTACCATTGTTAGATCCATCATTTAGGTAATTTTGATTATTACCATCGACATTCATATCATTACTATCACTATCACCAGTGATGACAACTTTAGGAGATGATAGATTCGAAGGATGAGACTGGGTATCCACACCTACAACGGGAGTTGCGTTTCTTGTGTCTGATTTAGTACTAGCAGCACTTGACGATACTAAGGTCTTTGAACTTTTTGAACTTGCAGGATAATCCTTTTTAGAAGAGGAAACAGTAGAAGATCTATTTTTCTCCAAGGACCCTTTTCTGGAAGAAGAAGCACTTGAAGTAGTACTTGCAGCAGCAGCAGCAGTAGTAGTAGCAGCAGCAGGTTTCTGCTTCGCCGAAGACTCTTTCTCTTTCTCCTTTTTCTTATTAGAGGAAGAACCAGTGGTCTTCTTTATAAGTTTTTGCTTAAAACCACGCATCATCTTGGGCCAACGAATTCACAGAAATAATAATAATAATAAGAAAACAAAAAAAAACAACCAGAGCTTACCACACACACACAAACACAATTACTCTATTATCTACCCAAAATATACAAAACAAAATCCAAAACTCTCCCCCACTCTTCTCAACAATTTCACCTGTATGGTATGATCTTGTCCAAATGGAAATAATTCAAAATATAGTTATTTTTGGAAACCAATAACTACAACCAAACAAAATTAAAATTCACCTTGTCAATGGAAATCCTAGCAAAGTAAACTAACAGAATCACACAAACCCAAGATCAACCAGTAACTTTTATACTCTCTTAAAACCAGATAATCTACAAGAACTATTATACTGTAATCTCAAAAGTTTTGACACCGACCTAAATCTAACGAATAATATTTCAATCGATCGACCAGAAAACGCCTATCACCTTAATTACAAAATAAAAACAATCAAAAGATTCACAAATAACCTTGCAATTCCCTTGAAGATACAAATACCTATTTAACCTTCCTAAATTCAAATAAAACCTTTAATAATCTTACAACTTATCAACTGTTTAAAACTTGATCTTTTTAATCTTTAATGTTTTTTCCTTTTAGTGTGTTAAGGAGGTCAAGCAGAGAAAGAAGGGTAAAAGTGACAACGAGCGGATTCTCGCTGGATTGCTGTAAGTAATGGGTCAGTATCACGTGATTTTGGTGACAGTGTTTCTTGGTTGAGCAAATGGTTGGTTACAAGGCAAGATATCGTTTATTTTAGTTTGTTGTTGGGGAGTGGGGGTTTTGGAATTAGATCTTTTATATAATACATACATTGGATTGAATGTCCAGTTAGATTACTTCAGTTTTCAGTTTGTGACACGTACTGATTTAAGGCAGAAGGGGCCAAAGAAAAAAAAACATTTAGAAAAAAAATAAATGCTATTTAGAACAAAACGACAGAACTATAATTCGTCATCTAAATGTTTCATGTTATGTGCCATAGGGTTCCCGAATATCAGGTGTCTGCTGTCAACCAGCATTTGGTCAAATGTGTCTTGTTCCAAATCTCTTTGCTTCAAACCGTTGTTTAATTCAGACTTTCTGTTGGCTGATTGAACTGCAAGCCAATTCAAAAAATTATTATCTGTTTTGATATCTTTCTTATAATTGTATTTGATATTAACCAGTGTAGTGAAGAATTTACGAACGTGGAATTCATCAATTGTGCTGTCTTGGATGGCTTGGGCGATTTCGTCGACCCAGTTTTGTACAATATTGGTAGACAGTTTTTCACTGTTGTTATTTGAAGTGGCTGCTGGATCTTGGTTGAAAAATCTCGTTATTATTTCCAAGATCTTTAGTCTAATTTGTTTGTCTTTCAAACTGTTGTAAATATTAGTCAATGTCAATAATTCGGCGTGGGTTAGTTTGAAATCAGATTCATCTAATAATACATCCAAGATTGACAAATATCTCTTGATTAATGTTTTAGCAGCTACTGTTTTTTGACTTTCCATAGTTTTCAATGCCCCAAATAGTTCATCAATATATGAAGGATAAGTCTCTATAATATGTTTGATAACAGGTGGGTTGTTTCTAATACAACTTGTAATTACTCTGGTGCTTAATTCCCTTACAGAATTTGGCAATGTCTCGTTGAATGAAATGGAAGATAATAAGTCAAATTCATTTTTAATAATCTTTAAACCATGCTTATAGTCATGAGCAAACTCCATTAAATCATCAAATTTCCATTCAATGGTCTCAATATCTTGATCAGATATAGTAGATTTTTGTAGAACGTTTTGAATTATTTTGAAGTCTGCAGAGAATTCATGATTGGCTTTTGGAGCAGGGTTTGAACGAGGTATTAGTTTATCATCTTTAGTTTCTTCAGGCTTGGTCAATGTCGAGGTTGAAGTTGGTGTGGATGTGGATGTGGATGTGGATGTGGATGTGGATGTGGATGCTGAAGAGGATGCAGAAATGGATGAAGAAGATGCAGAAGTGGATGCAGATGCAGATGCAGATTTAGTCTTGGTTTTGCTTTTAGTCTTTGTAACTGTTGTTTCGGTGGTTATGGACTCAGTTGCCGATTCGACGATTGATTCAGAGTCAATGGAAGATTCAGACTCAGAGTTGGCAGTTGATTCAGGTACTGGTTCGGAATTAGTTGTGGATTCAGTTGTAGAATCAACAGTAGATTCAGATACAGTTGCTGATTCAGTTGTAGATTCAGTTACAGATTCAGTTGCAGATTCAGTTGCAGATTCAGTTGCAGATTCAGTTGCAGATTCAGTTGCAGATTCAACAGTGGATTCTGATCCAGTTGCTGATCCAGTTATGGATTCAACAAGAGAGTCAGTTTTAGAATCAGCTGAAACTTCAGTTTCAGAAACGGTTGCTAGTTCAGCATTACTAGCACCGATAGTTTCAGTTGTAGCAATTTTTTTACCATACTCAGCATCTATCTTTGCTTCTTTCAAACCACTACTCATATCGACACGTACATGCAAACCTGCAGGAACAATTTGGTGAGGTTTGACCTCTTTCCATTCATTTGAAGGCTCAAACACCTTTGGATAACAAGTAACCTGGTTACAAATTTGAGAATCACCAATATAATAGGATTCTGAAACAACTTGAGATACCTTATTTGGAGAAATTACCTTCTTCTCAGCATAAACAATAGATAGGCATACCAATAAACAACACCAAAATTTAGCATTCATCATTGACGTGTAATTAAATATTCAAGTAGAAAATGTTACACTTTACGTGAATTTAATCCTAAACCTTGAGTAACGAATTGAAATGGAGTAATAAACACGACAACAAGTCCACAATGTATACCAATAGACCTCTAATAACAGCTTGTATTAAAAAATCAAACACTTCTTCATTGTATAAAGGTTAAATACAATTTTTCATCT